GCACAAAGAATAGTGGATTTTTATGGAGAATGTAACAAGCAAGCAAGCTCTGCCACAGTAAGCAGGCTCCATTCCCCTTCTGATTTCTACTTCTTACACAGGATTTCTGGCCCATGCCCTCTTGCCTTTACCCTTCAGTGCATAGTAGCCTGTCTTCCAACTGCCAGAATATGGAGGCTTTTGTTTGCTGCTGAATCTCGTTTTGCCATGCACAAACTGCAGAATTAATACCCTGGGGAACAGCCCTCAACCAGTAACTGACAGGAGTTGGTGGGTAAATACCCCCGCTCCCTCGCCCTTCAGTGGGACATTTCTGAAAGGCTCATGCCTTATGCTATCTCCCAGAGGTGCCCAGTAGAATTAAGCTCCAGTTGCTCCAGCAGGAAAATACTTGAAACACACCTTTCATTGTCTTCCTTCCCATCCTCTCTCCCCCACTGATGTTTCTGGGGGTCACCTCCCAAATAACTATTTGACCTCAAATCCTTGTCTCAGGATCTGCTTTTAGAGGAACTCAAACTAGAAAAAAAAAGAAAGGAAGAGAGAGGGAAGGGGGCGGGGGGGGGGGGAAGGAAGAAGGAAGGGGGAAAAGAAGAAAGAAGATGGAATGAAAGAAAAGAGAAGAAAAGAAATAAAGAAATGGGAAAAGAATAATACCCTTAATCCCATCACACTAATATTACAACTGCTTTTAGGCAAACTTTCTGTTAGATAGTTGTATTTAGTTTGCTGCATTCTTCTGTGTGCCTTGTTTGTGTGTTTGCTTGCTTCTGTGGCGGTGGTAAAGATGAGGATCTTGTGATTAAACCCTTGCAGAATAGGACAAGCTCTAAAACCCAATTGTTTTTAATCTTTTGATGTTGAAATAATTATAGATGCCCAGGAAGTTGTAAAGAAATGTACAAAGAGTTTCCACACACTCTTCACTCACCTCCCATAAGGCTAATATCTTGCATAACTATAACGCAAAATCAAAACAAGAAATTGATGACGGTACAATTCACAGAGCTTATTCAGATTTCATCATTTACCTATGTACTCATGAATGTGTGTGTGCATGTGTATGTGTCTTTGTATATGTGTAGCTGTATGTAAAATTATCGTGCATAGATTTGTGTAACCACAAGCCACAACTAAGAAAGTTTACTGTACCATCACCACAAGACTCTCTTTCTACCTTTTACAGCCACTAATCTGTTCTCCATATCTGTAATTATGTTATTTCATTAATGTTATATTAATGGAATCACACAAAATGTATCCTCTGAAGCTGGCTTTTTTCATTCACATAATTTCCTTGGAGTTCATCATAGTTGCCCCATACACCAATAGTTCATATTTTTTATTGTCAAGTAGTGTCAGGGGACATTTGACTTCAAGGAATCCAATATGTTGCCATTTCTCAAGGATTCTCTGTTCCTTATCAGTTTCTATTCCAGGAACAAGTGAAACAGCACGCTGTTCCCAGGACTGAGGTCATAGGATGAGACATGTATGAAACCCCTTCAGTGACTCTTTTCTGTGTCAGCGACCTTGTATGTATTAGACTATCCATATTGTGACCATTGATAAAATTTCATCCTGTGTAATAGCTGAGTAATCATCTTACTAAAGATATATAAGCCTGCATTTTTGCTAATAAAGTAGCCTTGCTCCATCAGAGCTTGGGTCCCCGTGTCTTTCTTTCTTTCTTTCTCTCTTTCCTTCTTTCTTTCTTTCTCTCTCTCTTTCTCTCTTTCACTTTCTTATCGTCAACTCTGGACCACCAGGTTCCAGTCCATTAAAGGACCCCAACAAAGTAGTATTTCATAGTATGAGTATACCATAATTTGTTTATCCATTCACCCACCAAAAAACATCTGGGTAGTTTTTGGTCTTTGATTATTACAAGTAAAGATGCTGTGAACATTCGTGTACAAGTTTCTGCATGAGAGTTAAGTTTTCATTTCTCTCAGGTATACGCCAATAAGCATAATTGCTGGGCTATATGCTAAGGCTACTTTTAGTTTTAAAAGGAACTGCCAAACTTTCTCCAGAGTTGTCTTATCACTTTGTGTCCCCACCAGAGATGAATGAGAGATTCCATTCCTCCACAGCCTCTGACCACCTACATTTGACTCTTAGTTCTGCCACTTCGGCTTATATGTGGAATCTAAAAAATAAAGCTAACTAGGGGCTACCACAAAAAAGAAACAGTCTCACAGATATAGAGAGCAAACTATCTGTTACCAGTGGGGAGAGGGAAGTGGGGATAGCAAAGACAGGAGTAGGGAATTAAGAGGGACAAACTATTATGTAGGAAATAAATAAGCTACAAGGGTATACAATGCAACATAGAGAACATAGCCAATACTTAATAATAACTATAAATAAACTATAACTTTTAAAAGTTGTGAATCACTATACTGCACACCTGAAACAAATAATATTGTACATCAACTCTACTGCAATTATTAATGTTTTCTGTTGTGTATCTTTTTGATATGTATTTATTTGGCTGTGCCAGGCCTTAGTTGCTGCGCCCAGGATCTTTAGTTGCAGCATGTGGACTCTTAGTGGCAGCATATGGAATCTAGTTCCCTGATGAGAAATCAAATCCAGCCTCCTGTAATGGAAGCGTGGAGTCTTAGCCCCTGGATCACCACCAGGTCCCTCTACTGCAGTTTTAAAACTGAAATTAAAAGATCAGAGGCATGTCTACCTGTCTGCTTCAAAAGGGGAAAGTGTTTTGGCTCCTTTTATTACTCCGGTAGTGTCCAAACAATTCTGTTGCCATATTCAAGGTACTAAAAGGCAAGGCTCTCTCTTTTCTCTAGCGGAAATAATAAGCAGTATATGGCGTTCACCCATATGTTCTCCTACATTTCCCAGACTCCCTTACAGTTAGAACAGACCCATGTGATTCATTCTAGTCAACGGATTATCACTGCCGGGAGGAGGCAGTTAACAGCTGGTACATTCCCTCTATCCTTCTCTTCTCCTCCCAGGGTAGCTTTGGAAGGCATGTGAGAGATGCTGCTAGTGCTCGATGGAGGAAGGTTGGATCTCTGAGTCACTGCTTGGATGAGAGCCCTGCTAGCCAGCTTCACAGCAACAAGAAACAAACTTGTGCTGGGTGCAGCCATTAAAGTTTCCAGTTTCTTTGTTATTACCACTGAACAGAGCCTTATACTGACTAGCAAGCCTACCTTCTGGACAAAGGGAGAATTCTCAGGAAAATTTTGCAGACATTACATGTCATTTTCCCCAACTACAAGTTGCATAATTCATTTTCCAAATTATTTCATGAAACTTAGTGAAGAATTAAGGTCAGTATGCAGCAGTTTGCTGATGGCCTTTGTTTTCATGAGAGAGGAGAAATCGTTTATTACATAATGAATGCCACTGGGTCTCTTTAAAGGGCCTATAGCCAAGAGCCTCTCCTAGAAGGAGTGCACGTAAGTCACTTTGCCGATATGGCCCTCAGTTTCCCCATTTGGAAGGACGCATAGGAAAGTCTCTGCAATCCATTTGTTCATTAAAAAATGTCCTTGATTTTAGGGCTTCCCTGGTGGTCTAGTGATTAAGAATTCCTCCTGCCAATTCAGGGAACTCTGGTTCAATCCCCAATCCGGGAAGATCCCGAATGCCTTGGAGCATCTAAGCCCATGTACCACAGCTACTGAATCTGAGCTCCAGAGCCAGGAAGCCACAACTAGTGAGACTGTGTGCCGAAACTATTGAAGCCTACACACCTAGAGCCCATGTTCCACAACAAGAGAAGCCACCGCAATGAGAAGCCTGTGCACCACAACTACAGTAACACCTGCTCAACACAACTAGACAAAGCCTGCTTGCAGCAATGAAGACCCAGTCCAGCCAAAAAGAAAATAAATAATTTTTTTAAATTTCCTTGATTTTTATTTCAGTCTGAGTAACCCAGGGAAGGGGAGAAGAGGGGAAATTTGGAAATAATTCCCCTCCATGTAGCAACCCCCTGAAGCTCACACACACACACACACACAAAGGTTATAGTGAAAATGGGAGCAAGAATTCTAAAACTTCTCTACTCCTGAGGAACCTGCTGTCCTAAATTTAAACTTGGCAGAGACTTTGGCAACACCCTCAAGCCGCTTTCTGCCAAGAAACTCACTGAAATTAACAAATGGCTTGTTTGCTTATGTTTGGTCTGTCCTCAGCGCCGTAACAGTTTTCCACGCATGTAACTGATTGTACCCAAATTTACTTCCAGTTTTTCCTCTCCTTTCTGCTGTTGTGCTGTGTCCTCAGCTTCAAAGGTCACGTTCATCAAATTAGAATATGACAGGTTGGCACGCAGACATTTCATGTAAATGCCTGAATGCCTGAGGCAGGATAAGGAAGAAAAAAACTTTTGCAGAAGAAAAATAATTATAATAACAGCTTGGGCACAGTCCTCAAGTTGTACATATATTAAATTTAGCAATATTGGACTTTTTTAACCACCTGAGCCTTTGCAATATATATTTTCTTTTGCCCAGACCATTCCAATAAACTTGTAACACATAATAAGGCAGCTATCATACAAAAATGCAAAAGGTGAAAAACAATGATCTAAAATAACACAAATTGGGACTTGCCTGGTGGTCCAGTGGTTAGGACTCCACACTTCCACTGCTGGGGGTGTGGGTTTGATCCCTGGTTGGGGAACTAGGACCCCACATGCCATGGGCACAGCCTTAAAAATTTAAAAAAAAAAAAAACACAAATTGTTAACACCCTAGTCTGAGTCTCCATCATTTTCCACCTGGACCAGTGCTGTTGTTTCTGCCCAGGTCTCCCAGCTCCTGCCCTCACACATGATGGTCTGTTCCCTTTGCAACAGTCAGAGGGTACCAGTGAGCACCTGAGTCGGGTCATGCCTCCCCTGCTCAGAACTTTGCACAGCTCCCATTTCACTGGGGTAAAAGCTAAAGTCCTTCCCACATCCCCCACATTCCCACATCCCCGCACAATCTGTCCCCAACACCGCCCTGCCTCACCTCCTCCCACCCTCCCCCTCAGTCATGCTCTTCAATCACAATGGCTTCCTTGCTGTTGCTCAGACAATACTAGGCATAGTCCCACCTCAGGGCCTTTGCACTTGCTATTCCCGTGACCTAGAAAGCACCTCCTCCCAGCTTCCTCCTTCACCTGCATCAAGTTTACTCAGTTCTCACATTCTTGATGAAGCTGGCTTCTGACCACTAGAAACTGCAACTCACTTCCTAGCACCCCCAATCCACTTACCTTATTCTATACTTCTTCCCATAGTATTTACCACCTTTTAACATACTTTATGGGCTTCCCAGGTGGCGCTAGTGGTAAAGAACCCGCCTGCCAATACAGGAGATATAACAGATGCAGGTTTGATCCCTAGGTTAGGGAGTTCCCCTGGAGGAGAGCCAGCAACCTACTCCAATATTCTTGCCTGGAGAATCCCATGGATTGAGGAGCCTGGCAGGCTGCAGTCCATAGGGTCGCACAAAGTCAGACATGACTGAAGTGACTTAACACGCATGCAACATACTTTGTGTTTCATATTTGTTATCTACCAGCCCCCAACTTGAACTGAAGTCCCGTGAGGATAGCTTTGTCTATTCACTCCTGTAGCTCAGACATCTAGAAAGTACTTCACCCACAGTACATACACAACACACATTGTGGAAGGAATGGATGGATGAACAAATGAATGACTTGCTATACAATATCTGGCTTATGGAATTTTTAGAGTATCTAACTTTGGAATATCTCAGTGTTGACTTCTTATAGGTTTTCATTTCCTCCCTATAGTATCCTGTTTGAGTTCAAATCCCATCCTTGGTCCTCTAGAATTCTCTTCATCCACAGACATGGCAGTGTGGCTCAGATGGTAAAGAATCTGCCTGAAGTACAGGAGACCCAGGTTTGATCCCCGGGTCAGGAAGATCCCCAGGTCAGGAAGATCCCCTAGAGAAGGGAACGGCTACCCACTCCAGTATTCTTGCCTGGAGAATTCCATGGACAGAGGAACCTGGCGGGCTACAGTCCACAGGGTCACAAAGAGTCCAACACAACTGAGCAACTATAACACTTTCAACACAGACATACAACCCCACAACATTCCCACAAAAATGATCTTTTAATTAAAAACAACAGTACTAGTCCAGGTGGGAGATGATGGAAGGTCAGACCAGGGTGTTAACAATTTGTGCTATTTTTTACTTTTAAGGCTATGCCTCATGGCATTAATAAGGAGGAAACACCAGACAAACCCAAACTGAGGGGCATTCTACAAAGTACTCAACCTGCACTGTTCAAAAGAATCAAGGTCATGGAAGAAAGGGAATGACTAGGAGGCTGTCCCAGCCTGAAAGAGACTGTAGGAATCCAGTGACTAAAAGCAACAATTGATGACCCCGAATGGGACCCTTTTGACCTAAAGCAGCAGTCCCCAACATTTTTGGCGATTGGGATGGGTTTCCCGGAAGACGATTTTTCCATGGACAAGGGTGAGGGGGTGGTTTCAGGATGATTCTCACAAGGAGCATGAAACCTAGATCCCTCGCATGTGCGGGTCAGAGTAGGGTTCACGCTCCCATGAGAATCTAATGCCACTAATGATCTGTCAGGAGGTGGAGCTCACGCAGTGATGTGAGCGACGGGGAGGGGCTATAAATACAGATGAAGTTCCGCTTGTGCTTGCTCACCCACCGCTCACCGCCTGCTATGCAACCTGGTCTCTTAACAGGAGGTTAGGGGACCCCTGCCCTAAAGGACATCGTTGGGGCCATTAGTACACTAGTGCTATTAGTGGCACCAGTACACAGAACAGGGATAGGCCAGAGGGCATTTTGCTAAGTGGAGTAAATCAGACAGAGAAAGACAAAGACTACATGATTTTATTTATATGTAGAATCTTAAAAAAGAGAGAGAGAGAGAGAGACCATAGATACAGAGAATGGATTGATGGCTACTACAGGCAGGAAGAGGGATGGGTGAAAGGATGGAGGTGATTAAAAGTTATAGACTTCCATTTATAATAAGTTCTGGGGATGTTATGTACCGCATGGTGACCAAAGCACTGTGTTGTATATTTGAAAGTAAGAACTAAGGGAGTAAATCTTAAAGTTCTCTTCAAAAGAAAAAGATTTTGAAATATATGAGATGATGAATGTTAGCTAAACTTACTGTAATCATTTCACAACATATACATATATCAACCAACAGGGGTCTACTATCTACAGAGGGAATTGTACTCAATACTTTGTAGTAACCTATAAAGGAAAAGAATCTGAAAATAATTTACATATATATATATATATGATTGCATGTGTGCTAAGTCACTTCAGTTGTGTCCGACTCTTCTGAGACCCTATAGACCATGGCCTGCCAGACCCCCCTGTCCATGGGATTCTCCAGGCAAGAATACTGCAGTGGGTTGCCATGCCCTCCTCCAAGGGATCTTCCCAACCCAGGATACAACCCACTTCCATGTTGCCTGCATTGGCAGGAGGGTTCTTTTCCACTAGCACCACCTAGGAAGCCCCATATATATGATTATATATACATATATATGTGTGTATATATATATATATATATATATATATATATATATAACTATATTATGTGCTGTGTTTAGTCGCTCAGTCATGTCCAACTCTCTGCAACCCCATGGACTATATAGCCCGCCAGGCTCCTCTGTCCATGGGAGTCTCCACGCAGGGATACTGGAGTGGGTTCCCTTCTCCAGGATTGAACTTGTATCTCTTGCATTGGCAGGTGGATTCTTTACCACTGAGCCATCAGGGAAGTCTTTAAATATATATATATATATATATATATATATATATAATCGTTTTGTACACCTGAAACTTATACAGTGTTATACGTCAATGAAACTGTAACAAATAAGTATGTCCTGAGGAAACCAGAATTGAAAGAGACACATGTACCCCAGTGTTCATTGCAGCACTGCTTACAATAGCTAGGACATGGTAGCAACCTAGATATACACCAGCAGATGAATGGATAAGAAAGTTGTGAAACATTACACGCCAGTCAGAATGGCTGCTATCCAAAAGTCTACAAGCAATAAATGCTGGAGAGGGTGTGGAGAAAAGGGAACCCCCTTATACTGTTGGTGGGAATGCAAACTAGTACAGCCACTATGCAGAACAGTGTGGAGATTCCTTAAAAAACTGGAAATAGAACTGCCATATGACCCAGCAATCCCACTCCTGGGCATACACACCGAGGAAACCAGATCTGAAAGAGACACATGTACCCCAATGTTCATCACAGCACTGTTTATAATTGCCAGGACATGGAAGCAACCTAGATGCCCATCAGCAGACGAATGGATAAGGAAGCTGTGGTACATATACACCACGGAATATTACTCAGCCATTAAAAAGAATTCATTTGAATCAGTTCTAATGAGATGGATGAAACTGGAGCCCATTATACAGAGTGAAGTAAGCCAGAAAGATAGAGACCAATACAGTATACTAATACATATATATGGAATTTAGAAAGATGGTAACGATAACCCTATATGCAAAACAGAAAAAGAGACACAGATGTACAGAACAGACTTTTAGACTCTGTGGGAGAAGGCAAGGGTGGGATGTTCAGAGAGAACAGCATTGAAACAAGTATACTATCAAGGGTGAAACAGATCACCAGCCCAGGTTGGATGCATGAGACGGGTGCTCAGGGCTGGTGCACTGGGAAGACCCAGAGGGATGGGATGGAGAGGGAGGTGGGAGGGAGGATCGGGATGGGGAACACATGTAAATCCATGACTGATTCATGTCAATGTATGGCAAAAACCACTACAATATTGTAAAGTAATTAGCCTCCAATGAATAAAAATAAATGGGAAAAAAATTAAAAAAGAAAAAGAAAGTTGTGGTACATATACACAATAGAATATTACTCAGCTATAAAAAAGAACACATTTGAGTCAGTTCTAATGAGGTGGATGAAACTGGAGCCTATTATACAGAATGAAGTAAGTCAGAAAGAAAAACACCAATTCAGTATATTAATGCATATATATGGAATTTAGAAAGATGGTAACAACAACCCTGTATGCAAGACAGCAAAAGAGTCACAGATGTAAAGAACAGACTTTTGGACTCTGTGGGAGAAGGCAAGGGTGAAATGATTTGAGAGAATAGCACTGAAACATGTATATTACCATATGTGAAAGAGATGACCAGTCCAAGTGCAATGCATGAGACAGGGTGCTCAAAGTTGGTGCACTGGGACAACCCAGAGGGATGGGATGAGGAGGAAGGTAGGAGGGGGGATCAGGATGGGGGACACGTGGACACCTGTGGCTGATCATGTCAATGTATGGCAAAAACTACCACAATTTTGTAAAGTAGTTAGCTTCCAATTCAAATAAATTAATTAATTTAAAACAAACTCATAGAAAAAAATAAGTGTGTGTATATTTATATACATACACATATACAGAAAGACAGAGGTAAAGATGAAAGCAGTACATAAATGTTAACAACTAAGGGATATGGGTGAAGAGTTTGTGGATGTTCATCGTACTGTTCTTACAATTTTTCTGTATTTGAAAATTTGTGAACATTTCAAACAAAAGGTTTGAACATTTTCAACATGAAAAGGAAAATAAGTCACCTAATCTATTGCCAGAGTTTTAAAATTTTATTTGTTGACTTATTTATTTTTGGCTGTGCTGGGTCACTGCTGCTGCGTGTTGGCTTTCTCCAGCTGCAGCGAGTGGGGGCTGCTCTCTAGTTGTGATGTGCAGGCTTCTCATTGTGATGGCTTATTCTGTTGCAGATCACAGGCTCTAGGGCAAGTGGACTCATTAGTTGCGGCTCACAGGTTTTAGAGCGTGAGTTCAGGATGATGGCACACAGGCTTGGTTGCCCAGTAGCATGTAGAATCTTTCCAAACCTGGGACTGAACTCATGTCCTCTTCATTGGCAGGTGGATTTTCAACCACTGGACCACCAGGGAAGCCCTAGTGCCAGAATTTTAATTAATTCAAGTAAGGGATTTATG